ACCCCCCCTTCCTGACCAGGCCATTTTTTGTGTTACAGCATTGTGTTACTTTAAATGACAGTTGCGCGGTCACGCAACGTTGAGCCCAAATTAAATTTACGTCCTTTTTCCCACGAATTGAGCTTTCTTTCGGCGGTATTTGATCGCCTGTGTGTTTTTGTATTTTTTGCACTATAAAAAAAAAGACCGACAATTTTGAGAAAAAAAACAATGTTTTTGACTTTTTGCTATTAAACATGTCCAGTAAAAAAATGTTAAAAATGTCATAAATTTCGGCCAAAATGTATTCTGCTACGTGTCTTTGCTGAAAAAAATCCCGATACGTGTATTATTATTATTATTATTATTATTATACAGTATTTATAAAGCGCCAATAGTTGGCTCAGCGCTGTACATTACAAAGGGGAGACAGAACATGTGACAGAACAATACCAATACAATGCAAAACATGAGGGGATCGAGGGCCCTGCTCCTTGGAGCTTACAATCTAGGAGGGAGGGGGTGGTGGCACAGAAGGAGATAGCTGTGGGGGATGGAGTGGTAGGAAGAGTGGAGGAGGTCGGCAGGTTAGCAGGGGGTGGGGGAGGCTTCCCTGAAGAGATGGGTTTTCAGGGTGCGCCTAAAGGAGAGGAGAGTAGGTGATAATCTGATGGGTTGGGGCAGGGAGTTCCAGAGGATGGGTGACACCCTGGAGAAGTCCTGGAGGCGGGCATGGGAGGAGGAGACCAGGGAACTAGAGAGAAGGAGGTCTTGTGAGGAGCGGAGTGTGCGTGTTGGGTGGTACTTGGATATTAGGTCGGTGATGTAGTTCGGGGCAGTATGGTGGACAGCTTTGTACGTCAGCGTTAGGATTTTGAATTTGATCCGTTGCGCAATCGGAAGCCAGTGGAGGGATTGGCAGAGGGGGGATGGCGGAGACAGTGCGGTTGGAAAGGTGAATGAGTCTGGCAGCCGTGTTCAGGATGGACTGAAGCGGGGATAGCCGGCGGCGAGGCAGGCCAGTGAGGAGGGAGTTGCAGTAGTCGAGTCGTGATATGATGAGGGAGTGGATGAGCTGTTTAGTGGTTTCTGGGGTTAGGAACGTGCGGATTTTGGCGATGTTGCGGAGGCAGAGATCTGCATGTTGCGGAGGCGGAGTCTGCATGTTGCGGAGGCGGAGTCTGCATGTTGCGGAGTGGAGTCTGCACGAGTTTGTTAAAGATTTGGACTTGGGGCTGGAAGGATAGGTTGGAGTCCAGAATGACACCCAGTACTCTGGCCTGCAGGGCGGGTTTTGATGGTGGCGTTGTTGGATGTGATGGAGAAATCAATGGGGGGGGGGGGTGTCCGGGCTGGGGGGAAGACAAGAAACTCGGTTTTGGAGAGGTTCAATTTAAGGAAGTGGAGTGACATCCAGTCTGATATGTCGCTCAGTAGGTGTGTGATTCGGGCTGAGACTGAGGGGGTGAGGTGGGGGGTTGAGAGATAGATTTGTGTGTCGTCGGCATAGAGGTGGTAGTTGAAGCCGTGAGAGTGTATGAGTTGGCCAAGGGAGGAGGTATAGATGGAGAAGAGAAGGGGCCGAGGACAGAGCCTTAAAGGACCCCAACAGAGAGGGGGAGTGAGGGGGAGGTGGTAGCATTATAGGTAACGCTGAAAGAGCGTTGTGACAGGTAGGATGAGAGCCAGGAGAGAGCAGAATCTCTGAGGCCGAGGGAGTGTAGTTTTTTTTTGAGGAGGAGGGGGTGGTCGACTGTGTCGAAGGCCGCAGAGAGGTCAAGGAGTAGGAGCACTGAATAGTGGCCATTAGCTTTGGTGGTTAGCAGGTCGTTGGAGAGTTTGAGTAAGGCAGTTTCGGTGGAGTGTAGGGGACGGAAGCCGGACTGTAGGGGATCGAGGAGGTTGTTGTCGTTGAGGTGAGAGCATAGGCGGGTGTAGACTAGGCGCTCGAGGAGTTTAGATGTAAATGGGAGCAGGGAGATGGGTCTGAGGTTGTTCGGGTCATTGGGGTCCAGGGAGGGCTTTTTAAGTATGGGGGTGATGTGTGCATGTTTCAGAGGGGAGGGGAAAGTGCCTGAGGAGAGGGAGAGATTGAAGATGTGGGTGAGGGAGCGTAGGATGGAGGAGGAGGAAGGTCGTAGGAGTTGTGAGGGGATAGGGTCGAGGGGGCAGGTGGTGAGGCGGGCATCAGAGAGGATCTTGGAGACTTCCTCGATGGTAGTAAGGTCAAAGGTGCGGAGTGTTGGGGGGCTTCAGTATGAGGAATGTAGGGTGGGGTGGAAGAGGAGGTCAGAGCAGTGGTGGGGCTGTGGGAGAGGGGTGATGAGGGGGTAGCTGAGTGAGGGTGAAGGGGGTTGGAGAGAGTTTGAGCAGCGACGAAGTCCCTGCGGGTTATGTCGAGGGGGAGGGGGGGGATGAGGGGGGTAGCTGTGTGAGAGGGGACGGGTTGAGAGGGCGTGTGAGTTGCGGCAATGTCCTTGCGAATTGTGTCAATTTTGTTTTTGAAGTGATTGGCAATCTCAAGGGCAGTGAGTGAGGTGCTGGGTGGAGGTGGGGGTGGCGAGAGTAGAGAGTTGAAGGTGGAGAAGAGTCGGCGAGGATTGGAGGAGAGGACCTTGATGAGGGTCAGGAAGTAGGCTTGTTTGGCTGCGTGGAGGGAGGAGGTGTAGGTGCGGAAGGCAGATTTGTAGCAGGTGAAGGCTTGTTGGGATTTGGTTTTGCGCCATAGTCGCTCCAGGGCACGACTTTGTCGTTTGAGGGTTTTGGTGGTGTGATCAGTCTGCCAGGACTGGAGCGGTCGGGGTCTGATGTTGCGTGTGGTTAAAGGCGCTAGTGAGTCAAGGGCTGTTGACAGCGCGTTGTTGGAGGCAGTCATAGCCAAGTCGGGGCAGGTCAGGGGGAGGATGCTGTCATGGAGTTGATCAGCTGCAGAGTGGAGGGGGGACAGGGTTAAGGTTGCGGAGGTTACGGCTGGTAGTAGTGTGACATTTGGAGGGGTAGGCGTTGGAGGACGAGGAGATAGAGAAGGTAATCAGGTTGTGGTCAGAGAGAGGGAAGGGGGTGTTAGTGAGGTTGTGGGGAGCGCAGCGGTTGGAGAAGACAAGGTCCAGGATATTTCCGTCGGAGTGGGTGGTGGATTGTATGCACTGTGCAAGTGCAAAGGAGGAGGTTAAGTGGAGGAGACGGGCTGTGTCCGGGTTGTCGAGGTTGACAGGGATGTTGAAATCCCCAAGAATGATGGTGGGTAGCTCAGAGGAGAGGAAGAAGGGTAGCCAGGAGGAGAAGTCTTCCAGGAAGCGGGGGTATGGATCCAGGAGGCCGGTATATCACAGCAATCTTCAGGGGGGTTGGGGAGAATAGTCGGAGGCAGTGGGCCTCGAAGGAGGAGAAGGATAGGGAGGGGGGGTTTGGGAGGACTCGGAAGGTGCTCTGCGGTGACAGGAGCAGACCAACCCCACCACCTTTACGACCGTTAGGCCTGGGTGAGTGGGTCCAGGTGAGACCTCCGTAGGAGAGTGCAGCAGGGGAGGTAGAGTCAGTGGGCTGGATCCAGGTTTCCGTAATCGCCAGGAGGTTGAGGGAGCGGGAAACAAAGAGGTCGTGGATGGCGGTAAGCTTGTTGCACACCGAACGGGCGTTCAGGAGTGTAAATTAATTAGTTTACGTGAAAGTTATCGTGTCAACAAATGGCGGGATTGATACGGGGATTTTTTTTTTACTAGTAATGGCGGCGATCATCAACTTATAGCGGGACTGTGTCGGGCATTTTGACGCTGGAGAGGAACTAACTTGGTGTCACTGACATCCCCAGTGACACCAATACAGTGATCAGTGCTAATAAAAAGCCCCGACACCGTACTAATGGCACTGGGCAGGAAGGGGGTAACATCTGGGGAGATCCAAGGGTTAACTGTGTGCTGGGAGTGTTTTACTAGGGGCAGGGTGTGTGTTACTAGGGGGCGGGGTGTGTGTTACTAGGGGGCGGGGTGTGTGTTACTAGGGGGTGGGGTCTGTGTGCTTCACTGTAATCACACTGCTCTGGATGGCTGTGCTGTGCAGTGTGCCCGAGCTGACAGGGAGAACTGTTTTGTTTACAAACAGGTCTCCCCCCGATGGAGATGCTCAGCAATCACCGGGTGCCAGCGAGTAATCTCCGGTCGGGACCCAGTGATTGACACGAATGGCAGCGCGGGTAGGGCGCACACGCGCATCCCCTACCTGGAAATGCAAAATCATGTGTATATGTGATTTTGTGCACCCGTGCCGCCCTGTAGCAGTATATTCTGCTATAGGGCGGACGGGAAGCGGTTAATGTCTGTATCCATTAACATCCGTTTGTTTTTTTTTAAACCTATTTTTCTTCTATTAAAAAAAAATGGAACGGAGGAAAAACGGATGGAAACAGACATATGGGCTATTTTTGCATTGGTAACGGATGTAAAAAACTGACGAGAAACTGATGTGAACTGATCCGTTTTTTTTTGAAAAAAACATGACTGAATTAATGAAAAAAATGGAACGCCAGTGTGAGAGAACCCTTGTTATTGCCAGTAAATAGGAAGAGTATCTTACACTATATTTCCAAGTGTTGTCCCCGCCCTCCCAGTCATGTGATTCAGGTGTTCGAATCCCCTCCCAATCATGTGATTCAGGTGTTCCAATCCCCCCAGTCCCAGTCATGTGATTCAGGTGTTCCAATCCCCTCCCAGTCATGTGATTCAGGTGTTCCAATCCCCTCCCAGTCATGTGATTCAGGTGTTCCAATCCCCTCCCAATCATGTGATTCAGGTTTTCCAATCCCCTCCCAATCATGTGATTCAGGTGTCCCAATCCCCTCCATATCATGTGATTCAGGTTTTCCAATCCCCTCCCAATCATGTGATTCAGGTGTTCCAATCCCCTCCCAATCATGTGATTCAGGTGTTCCAATCCCCTCCATATTATGTGATTCCTGTGTTCCAATCCCCTCCATATCATGTGATTCCTGTGTTCCAATCCCCTCCATATCATGTGATTCCTGTGTTCCAATCCCCTCCATATCATGTGATTCAGGTGTTCCAATCCCCTCATATCATGTGATTCAGGTGTTCCAATCCCCTCCCCAATCATGTGATTCAGGTGTTCCAATCCCCTCCCAGTCATGTGATTCAGGTGTTCCAATCCCCTCCATGGACACAGGTGTATACAGTCAAGGCCCTAGGCATGCAGACTGCTTCTACAAACATTGGTGAAAGAATGGGTCGCTCTCAGGAGCTCAGTGACTCCAAGCGTGGTCCCGTGATAGGTGGCCACCTGGGCAATAAGTCCATCCGTGACATTTCCTGGCTACTAAATATTCCACGCTCAACTGTTAGTGGGATTATAACAAAGTGGAAGCAACTGGGAACAACAGCCACTCAGCCACCAAGTGGTAGGCCACGTCACATGACAGGGCGGGGTCAGTGCATGCTGAAGCGCACAGTGCGCAGAAGTCACCAACTGTCTGCAGAGTCAATAGCTAAAGACCTCCAAACTTGGTGTGGCCTTCAGATGAGCCCAACAACAGTGCGTAGAGATCTTCATGGAATGGGTTTCCATGGCTGAGTAGCTGCATCCAAGCCTTCCATCACCAAGTGCAATGCAAAGCACCGGATGCCGTGGTGTAAAGCACGCCGCCACTGGACTCTAGAGCATGGAGACGTGTTCTCTGGAGGGACCAATCACTCTTATCTGTCTGGCAATCCGATGGACGTGTCTGGGTTTGGCGGTTGCCAGGAGAACGGTACTTGCCTGACTGCATTGTGCCAAGTGTAAAGTTTGGTGGAGGGGGGATTATGGTGTGGGGGTGTTTTTCAGGCGTTGGGCTTGGCCCCCTAGTTCCAGTGAAGGGGACTCTTAAGGCAACATTTTGGACAATTTCATGCTCCCAGCTTTGTGGGAGGAGTTTGGGGATGGCCCCTTCCTGTTCCAACATGACTGCGCACCAGTGCACAAAGCAAGGTCCATAAAGACATGGAGGAGCCAGTTTGGGGTGGAGGAACTTGACTGTCCTGCACAGAGTCCTGACCTCAACCCCATAGAACACCTTTGGGGTGAATTAGAGTGGAGACTGCGAGCCAGGCCTCCTCCCCCGACATCAGTGCCTGACCTGACAAATGTGCTTCTGGAAGAATGGTCCAACCTTCCCATAGACACCCTCCTAAACCTTGTGGACGGCCTTCCCAGAAGAGTTGAAGCTGTTATAGCTGCAAAGGGCGGGGCCAACTCAATATGGAACCCTACGGACTAAGACTGGGGGGCCATTACAGGTCATGTGTGTGGAAAGGGCGGGGCCAACTCAATATGGAACCCTACGGACTAAGACTGGGGGGCCATTAAAGGTCATGTGTGTGGAAAGGGCGGGGCCAACTCAATATGGAACCCTAAGGACTAAGACTGGGAGGCCATTAAAGGTCATGTGCGTGGAAAGGGCGGGGCCAACTCAATATTAAACCCTACGGGGTAAGACTGGGGGGCCATTAAAAAGCATGTGTGTGGAAAGGGCGGGGCCAACTCAATATTGAACCCTACGGAGTAAGACTGGGGGGGCATTAAAGGTCATGTGTGTGGAAAGGCCGGCGGCCCAATATTTGGGGAAATATAGTGTATCTTGGCTCCTGTAACTGTTCATTGGGATGACATATTGGATCCCATGCTCTATGATGGAGCTCAAGTCATGCTACAATCCCCCTGTACTGCCCCCTATATATATAATGAGAATATACCCTGTGTAAGAAGCTTCAGATTGAAGCAGGTGCTCTTTGATACCAAGGCTGCATTCAGGGGCAGTGAAGCTGAGCAGGAACCAGGGAAAGTCGCTTTTTAGATGGGCATTTTGTCATGACAGATCCTCTTTAATGGAACAATCACTTCCAACACTTAACTAGCTATCTTTTCCATTTAAAACCACCTTTGTGTTCCAGCCGCTCTGACAGATGAATAGAAGCTTGCTCCCCTCTCTTCCCTCGGGATGGAAATGTGCTTTATACTCCTTTGATTAATAATATTACAGTCTTCTTTCTTCATGAAGATCCTCGGGGCTCCTGCAGACACCCAGCAAGTGATTTTCGGAGAGCTGTGCACGTCTTGCACCAGTTTGTCATCCTAAATAGGACAGATATTTATATCTTCTGGATCCAGAAGCTGGTCCTGATGAGAGGACTATAACTCCCAGGATGCCCTGCCATGACCTTCCATTGCACATTTGTTTGTTAATTCTTCAGATAGTGGATTATATTGGAGTTGACTGGAAGCTCTATGTGTCCTAGGACTTCCATGGGCATAGCTTGGATTTGGTCCAAACCCAGAAGTTGGCTCTCATTGCTGGGCAATGAGCACATATTCAAAGGGTCGGGGATGCTAGCAAGAACTTTGACTGAAGAAGGACACTTGGCCATGTTAGGTCAATGCCACCACGACTCAATGGCCAAGCATTGGCAGCTGACTTCCAGGTTCAGATGGACTTTGGTTTTATTATGATGATGCCAAGGAAAAGTCAACGTGTTCCAAGGGTTGCGAAAGTCTCCTTCTTCAGGGCCATATAAAATATCCTTCTGGACTTCCATACATAGAGTGGTGATTCTGTTCCTACATTTAGGACAAGTGATGAACTTGCGTTCAGGCTTGGGTTCGGTTAGTGACATCACTGACCTAATTTGGGCACATGTCCGTGTTGGGTTAATGTCGTTGGCCTAACCTGGCCGTGTGGTCATAGTTGTTCAGTGTTGTCACTAGCATCACCGCCCTTCTGAATATGTGCATTTCCTGCAGTTCATTGGCCCAATGGCAGCTAACTTCCAGGTTCAGGTGGATTTGGGTTCAGATCGAACCCAAGCCTGAACCCAAGCTCATCACTAGTCCTTACGTGATGTTGTGTGGAGTCAGCTGCGCTGGCGGCGCTCGGGGCGGATCGTGTGTCACAGTTATTCCTTTTTGGTTCTGCTTTCCTGAATTATGCTGCCAAAGGACAAGAAAGGCGGGATGGAAGAGCACAAAAAAGGAGCGCAATAAGAGAGGAGGGAAGAGGGTCAATAGACCCGAAAAAAAAGGCGTAAGTAGCAGGAAAAGAGCCTAATACGGAGGACGGCAGAGGTACTGCAGATGACCCAGGGAAGGGGATTCCAGACCAGGCTGTATGCATCTTTAAAGGGACCTCCGGCTGACCACAGTTCATATCTGTACATGCGTATTATTATTACGCATCTGGTGAGTGCGTAATTTTACTACGCATCTGGTGAGTGCGTAATTTTACTACTTACCTGGCACATCACCGAATATTGAGCATAGCGTGTGGATCACTGAATTTGAGATCAAACATACCAAGATCTCCACGTTGTCACTTTATGGACATTGAATTGTTGGTTTTGTGCAATTAATATATTTGTCACTTCACTATCACTTACAGGCCCTTTATAGTGACACTATATATTGAGATCTTATTCACCCAGATCTCCACGTTGTCACTTTATGGACATTGAATTGCCATATCTGTGCAATTGTTAGTTGTTTACCGTATTTGTCACTTTAGTAGCACTTTGCAGTCACTTTATTGGGACATCATTTATTCTTCCCATTCATCACATATTGTACTATTGTCACTTTATGTTTTTTCTGACATTGACGATTGCACACATTTTCCAGCCCACCTACACAAATCTTATATCAAAACGTTCAGCTATCCCTGCTGCCACTAAAAATGTCCACGGCTAAGCCATAGTCCTGATAGTTTTCACAATATGACCATTTGTTTGCAACTCAGGCCGCCCATTGACATTCATTGAAACTCCACTCACAGCCACCTCAAATTTGAAGGGCAATTTCTAAACTGCGACTGCGCCTTCATTTTTAATATTTCAGAGACATACTATACATCAAAATGTAGGTCTGGGTCTTGTGATTCTCACAATATAAAGCTCTTCGCTGTAGGATTTATCATTTTTAAAACTACAACCGTTTGAAGACACCAGTGAAGTGAGCAAGTTGGAGCAGTTTGTTTTTAACCGCTCTTCTCTGCCCTATTGGAAATCTAATTTTGAATTGGTGACAGTTTGGCCGGCTTCTGGTTAATGGTTTGGAAATCAGTTTTGTACAGTAGAGAGTATTTGAGGTGATAATGCTGCGAATGTGTTTATAAATGTATGTTTTCATGTCATTGTGAAGCTCTTCGGGCAACAACATCGCAATTCCATGTGCTATAGAAATCATTCAAAGTTCAAATGCGTTTCTCACTCTATCCAGCCTGCCATGTGCACTGCTTACATTTCATCAATCCATTGGTTAGTGTCATGTTTACTATCTTTACTCCGCCCACTCCACCCAGTTACTCTGCCCACTCCACCCAGTTACTCTGCCCATTCCACTTAGTTACTCCGCCCACTCCACCCAGTTACTCCGCCCACTCCACCCAGTTACTCTGCCCACTCCACTTAGTTACTCTCCGCCCACTCCACCCAGTTACTCCGCCCACTCCACCCAGCTACTCCGCCCACTCCAACCACACGACAGTTACTCTGGCCACTCCACCCACACGACAGTTACTCCGGCCACTCCAACCACACGACAGTTACTCCGGCCACTCCACCCACACAACAGTTACTCCGCCCACTCCAACCACACAACAGTTACTCCGCCCACTCCAACCACACAACAGTTACTCCGCCCACTCCAACCACACAACAGTTACTGCAGCCACTCCAACCACACAACAGTTACTCCGGCCACTCCAACCACACGACAGTTACTCCAGCCACTCCAACCACACGACAGTTACTCCGCCCACTCCAACCACACGACAGTTACTCCGCCCACTCCAACCACACGACAGTTACTCCGCCCACTCCAACCACACGACAGTTACTCCAACCACACGACAGTTACTCCGCCCACTCCTACCACACGACAGTTACTCCAACCACACGACAGTTACTCCGCCCACTCCAACCACACGACAGTTACTTCAGCCACTCCGACCACACGACAGTTACTCCGCCCACTCCAACCACACGACAGTTACTTCAGCCACTCCGACCACACGACAGTTACTCCGCCCACTCCTACCACACGACAGTTACTCCAACCACACGACAGTTACTTCAGCCACTCCAACCACACGACAGTTACTCCGCCCACTCCAACCACACGACAGTTACTCCGGCCACTCCAACCACACGACAGTTACTCCGCCCACTCCAACCATACGACAGTTACTCCGCCCACTCCAACCACACGACAGTTACTCCAACCACACGACAGTTACTCCGCCCACTCCAACCACACGACAGTTACTTCAGCCACTCCGACCACACGACAGTTACTCCGCCCACTCCAACCACACGACAGTTACTTCAGCCACTCCGACCACACGACAGTTACTCCGCCCACTCCTACCACACGACAGTTACTCCAACCACACGACAGTTACTTCAGCCACTCCAACCACACGACAGTTACTCCGCCCACTCCAACCACACGACAGTTACTCCGGCCACTCCAACCACACGACAGTTACTCCGCCCACTCCAACCATACGACAGTTACTCCGCCCACTCCAACCACACGACAGTTACTCCAACCACACGACAGTTACTCCGCCCACTCCTACCACACGACAGTTACTCCAACCCACACGACAGTTACTCCCAGCCACTCCGA